CATCATCATCATCATCATCATCATCATCATCATCATCATCATCATCATCATCACTTTCATCATTATCATCACACTAGACAGTAGAAGGGATGAACAATTTTACGATTATTTTCTCAGCTATATTGGGCCAAATGATAGGAGCTTTAGACTTCAAAAAGATTCTGGATATGCAGTGTGCCGACAAAAACATCAAGTACAACTGCCTGGGCCAGATACAAGTTCCAGCTAATCGGGCCGTTGTCCATGGTTGCGTCAAGAATACGGTTGAAGCTTTCAAGAATGAGTCGTTCCACAGGGTAAATAAGATAAATGCAATTAGTTACAGAAAGGAATACATTACATTTCACTGGTCCCCGTGGGGAAATTTGGGTTACAATGGCAAACACACGTACATAAATACATCATTAGAAACGCATATACATGTATACATAAATACACACATAAATACATACATCAATACACAATATTACACGGATACTGACCAATTTTCACAAACATGCCATTGTCACACACCTTGTCCTTGGTGTTGGGGTCACTACATTTGGAACATGTCCATCTCTGCTCCCCCCCACCCACCCTCCTCTTCTTGATCCATCCCCGTGTCTGTCTGCTTACAGTCTCCATCACAATCTGTTTGGAGATCCGTCGGACTGGTCCGCACAGGTGGCGTTGTTTCCCTTCTCCTCTTTGGATCCCCTTCTCCTTCAATCTACCTAGGGTGTAGGAACCGCTATCTGCCCTATTCTTCCTCAAACTCCCCCCTACAGCGGTTAAGACGGTTGGTGGGTCCAGTGTCAAATTCCCTCCTACTTTTGCTTCTCCAGCCAGCTTGTCCGCTCTCTCGTTGCCGGTTACCCCCATGTGGCTCGGGCAGAAGATTCAGGCCACTCTATTCAGGCTGCTCTCCCTGATTGTAGCCTTCCAGTCCGCATACAGCATCCCTTTTTGTACCTTCTGTAGTGTGCTCATAGAGTCAGTAATAATTACTGCTCGCTGATGGCTCGTGTTCGTGATCCAGTGTAGAGCCCCACGTATGACTTATATCTCCATACACATACTGGATGTTGTCAGTCCAGTTGTTCCGCTTTGCTCTTTCACAACTACCCCATCAACTCTGACACTGAAGGCCCAGCCCGATTTGACTCCTCTGTTGACTGATCCATCCGTGAAGATCACAACATCTCCATGTTTGCTATGCTCTTCTATCAGGGTCTCAATTTCAGCGTTTGTAGCTCCAAGTGGCCAGTTGCGACATTCTCTACCCAATGTTGCCTTCACCGTAGTGTACTCTCCCAGCGCATCTTCGACCACGACCCAATCCCTGCCTCTCCTGATGTCTTGTATCTGGCAGCACTCGCTGATAGTGTTCGTGGCTTAAATCATCCTTTCTGTACTCCTCTTTAGCCTTGATGCCATCTGCCGTCCCACTTTCTTATGTAGGGGGTTCGTCTCGTCTGCAGTGACTCGTAAAAAGGCTTGGACTAGAGCCAGTTTGTGCCTCTCTTCTGCCAAAGGGAAGTGGAGGAAGTATCTCCTTGCTCCAGCTGAGGTGTCTCCTGTGCACCTCAGGATTGCCCTCATTCCTTCATGTTGTAACGCTCGGGTCGTTGTAGTTGTGCCTTTGATAGGGTCAAGAGTCCGAGCCCGTACTCCACGACAGAGAGTACCAGTGTCTAGTAGAGGATAACAAGGATTTCCTGGGTCATCTTAGCTCTGGCCGTCATCTTAAGGGTTGTTGGGCCTTTTCTCGTCCTGGAGATTGTTCTCGTGATGTGATTCTTGCCAGAGAGGGTGCGATCAAACGTGATGCCCAAATACTTCAGTGTGTGTTCCCTCTCCAGCACTTTGCCTCCAATCGAGATACGTGTCATGTCATTGAGCTCTTCATTGCTATTCAGTGTTCTCCACAGTGCACAGGCGTTGTCTGGGTGCAATTTCCCGTTATTTGCTTCACACCACTGTTTGAGTCTGTCGAGTTCTTCCCTGCTCTCTCTCTCTCTCTCTCTCTCTCTCTCTCTCTCTCTCTCTCTCTCTCTCTCTCTCTCTCTCTCTCTCTCTCTGCTGTAACCTGGCGGTTGTTTGCCTTGCCTGTACACCTGCACATCATCAGCGAAACTGGGTACACATCTGGGCACCTCCAGCTGCTTGATGGCCATTGCTGGTTGCCACTGTGCAACACTCTTTTTTTCGAGCTAGGGTTGTCGTGTCTTGCTTAAGGACACGCCCAAGCGACCACCAATTCAAACCCCGTGTCACCGAAACCTGCTTGACTTTGCTTTGGGTTTGAATTCATTACTCACTCTACCACTGGAGCCCCCCCATAAATTGTATGCGAATGTAGAACCGTGCCTATTCGACTTCACTATTCAGCTCTCACGATTTTGTCCACTTTTCACAGCTATTCGAAGCATCGCAGAAGTATTTGAACACCGTAGTATAATAACTGTGGTGGACAGTGGACTTTCGCTTCAATTTTCTAAACACGTCGTGATATTAGAGCATATTAATTGTTAAAAGCACTGAGGTAAAAGTAGAAATATTTCGTGACAGGTGATCAGTACAGCCAACAAGAGTTTTAAAACCTGCCTCTTAGTACATTTGCATATTATAATAAGAAGACTGAAAGTTCTTCTTTCAACATTTATTACGCACCCTTTTCGAACGGCATGACTTTCTGTTTTTCCAGTTGTCTCCATGTTTGCCCCTCTATTCTTTTCTTTACGGCGTCTATTCTTGGTTGGAGGGAGGGGGGG